AGTCACCCAAAATTCCAATTCCATTGGACTGCGGTTTCAGTAAAATTACGCCGAACTCTGAGAAGACTCATCTTCAAGCTGAAAACGGTCTGCGTTAATCAGTAAGATTATTATATGTTGAGAAGTTTCCCGAACAACAAAGTCAAGGATGTATCACACAAATTATTCCAAACACTAAATGCGACGCATGAGCAAAGCATAAAGTAGAGACTGTAAGAACATTCTTGTCTAATTTACCCAAAATAGTAATCCACAGAACCGTTCAAAACTTATATTTTCAACTTCGTGCTTTCCTACAAGATATTCATCCGAATAAGTTTGCTGTCTTATGTTAGGATGATATTTTTATACATACATATATGTTGAAAACCTACCCAGAACCATTAGAATCTGTTGTCTTTCGGGCTATTTTGTTCCACGACGTATAATGTAGCACAGGTTGCAGTAAGTTTTTAATTTAGGTAAAGTTCCTTTTCTTTCACGGATTTGGATATGCCGAACACTGCCTAGAGACTGTGTTTCAATATGATGAAACACGAGTGGCTCAAAAAGGCTTTTTACACAGCGTGAGGGATGGTTTTTTCATCCAGTAAACTTAGGTTTCTGAGCTCCGGGTTCAATCACGCACTGAAACAATGTTAGTAAAAACAGATTTGATTGGCAAGTCATAATAAACTTGTACCTGCGGAAACGCGATAAGAACCGGTTGCACATCCATTTATATGCATAAGATGGTTGATTGAGATGCACGCGGTAAAGGACGAAGCCTGAAACGTAAACTGTATTACGTAGACGATCTTTTCGAAGTGTATACTGCAGAATTCATGTAGTCATCGTGCAGCTGAAAAATGGTAAATTTTTTATAAATGTTTTGGAGCTCATTGGGACTGGTCTGCAGCTAGCTGCAGTAAAGTTAGTTGATAGGAACAACTTCTTTCAGTTGTAAAAAATAAGTCATATCAGATTTTCTGGACTAGTATTCTGAGTGATAATATACTGAATGTCAACAAACAAGATATTCTGGGCTTTCTTTTCTTATTCTGCTTACTCGTATGAATTAAACAAAATCATTGCATCTGTGTTGTCCATAAATGTGCCATATGTAATTCTGTTCGATTATTACAGACATGCGTGAGGCAAAACTGGTACACCAGCTCAGGAGTAGTATTGTTGATAATATTCAACTAAAGTAACGTCAATTATTTAGCAGCATCTCAAGCATCATCTGGATTCAGGAGACTGGCGAAACTACTCCATCAAAATTTGATGGATGTGGGTGCCAACAAGTCAGCAGCCTTCGGTATTAACTCCAATAATAGATAACAATCAAAATTCAAACTTTGCAACATGTTTCCATGTAATCCAGTATCAAATATCTTGTACAAAAACTAGTATAAACCGGCTGAATTATTTGCACTCGATTCTTGTTCGTTCTGTACGGTTCCAGGTGTTTAGTAGTGCCCAACAGATGAGCGTCTAGTAAATTGACTGCAACAATTCTAGTTAGTTGGCATTTGTTTGTGAGTTCGCGTGTCCTGTGATCTGAATGGAAACGTTTGTTTCAGTAGTGTAGGGTTTCTGCATACCAGAAGCTATCACATTACCACGCCTGAGATCGGTTAGCTGCAATGCGAAGCATATTAAGGAGAAAATTCTAATGACAACGAGAAAAAGATTTCAGAAATTAGTAAATAAATGGATGGTGGCAGTCAGAACTGCCCAACTCAGTTCAAACTACTTGTTTGAAAATCCGACAACTCCTGTTGCTGCAGAGGTTCATCGTGTGATGAGACAAACCACCAAGTGCCTCTATAACAACATGAGAGTATGAAGGGTGAAGCCGTTAGAAATCAGGAATATATGCTCTCAGATGTATGCAGCAATACTAGATGGGCTGAGAATGGAAAATCGTCCAACTTGGATAATTTGTTAGCAGATATTCAGCTCCTACTCGAGGATGTTCACATCCATTTACCGATAGGGAGTAGTAACCATGGCACGGTCCTGTATAACTTGGTCATAAACGAAACACCCAGGCAGGATGAAAACGACCCCTACTTTTGCTACGCAAGGGCAAATGACATGCGAATGGTAGTGAATATTCTACATGCCCGATAGTTGAATGGTGAAAGGTCTCTCTGAAGGATTCCGACCGTAGTTCTTAGTTGGAATTGAGAAACAGATGCAATACCAAAGTTCGAAGAGATAGGAGACAATATCACACGAAGCTAGCTGCCAAAATAGAGACAAACCCAAAGCATCTGTTTAGGTTCATGGCCAAAAGAAAACTTAAGAATCAGTGCCTGTGTTCTGTGAAAGGTCCGAATTCGGAAACCTCACCATCTTGGAGATGGCCGGGATCTTCAACACTAAGTTTACTGATCAGTTAAACCAAGCACCCACCTGTTCAGAGTACTACTCCAAACAGTGCCAGCTGATAGCTTAGGGAATATCCTTATCACTCCTGACTTAGTACTAAGGAAACTAAAATCCTTACGCCCAGCTAAGTCACCAGGTTGTGACAATATCCAGCCCATAGTCTTGAAACAGTGTGCAGAAGTCCTCTGTTCACCGTTTTGTGACCTGTTCAGGCATTCACTGGATTCACACCAACTCTCAGATGTATGAAAACGAGCTGCTCTCTCCCCAATCTTCAAAGGAGGAGATAGAAAGGACCCAGCCTGTTACAGATCAATCGCGTTACTACCAACAATATCAAAGGTAATGGAAGGGCTGGTGGACGAACAAATGAGGAATTACATGGATAAGAATGAAATACTCCATGAACCTCAACACGGGTTTCGGAAAGGCAGTTCGTGTGCATCTAATCTTCTCATTGCATGGGACAGTTGAACCGCAAAATACCGGTGCACGTAATATTTTTCTACTGTGCAAAAGCCTTTGACACAGTACCCCACGCACTCCTAATCACAATGAATGTGGAATCAGGTTTCACTGACCCAGTCGTATCTTGGCTCAGAAACTACCTTGAAAATAGAAAGTTCACGCCAGTTGGAGAGTCTCAACACCGGGAGTTTCACTGGCGAGCATCCTAGGTCCACTTCTCTTCATGGTATTTATTATGACCTATGAGACAAATGTAGCTCGGAGGCATTGATCTAAACAGACGGTGTTAAGATCTGGAGGTTCATTAGAAGCGGAGAGGATTTGACTGAAATCCAAATGGAATTACATCCATTGAGGTATCTGCAACTGAGACGGCTAAAAACTAAACCAGTTGAAACGCCATGTTATGTACATTCTATCCCACATGCCGGATACGACTTACACTCTCAATGACAGTCAGCTCCCTAATGTCTTCTCAGAGTGCAATCTCGGTTTAATAACCACTGATAGTCTCTACACCAGTTCCAACTACATAGAAAATGCAATAAAGCAAAATGCAATGCTTCAATTTATGCGAAGACAACTTGATGCTATCACCCCACATATATTCTTATGCATACACCCGCCTGCAACATGAGGTTCACAACGCCGTAACACCCCTTCTCCTTAAAAGGGACAAAAATCACTTGGATAAATGCAGAGACGAGCAGCGGAATGAGTGAGATTGTCGAATAATAAAACTTGCGAAGATAGACTCCAGCACTTGGGGTTATCCTCCCCGAGTTGCAGGAGAATCAGAGTTGATCTGATAATGGCGTGCATTATATAGAGCGCGCCAAATCATCCCAAAGTAAGCATCTTACCAAAGCATAACTACCACGCCACTTTAGGTAATCCTCGAATAATTGCCAATCAAAACATGTAGACTCATACGGATTATGATCTCCCTCACGAATCAGCTGTGCCAGGTGCATGTCTTCAGGCTTACCAGATGTCATGATCGCTACTTGCTCGAATCGACAACTAAATCTATCTCGCTGCGCATTGCAGCTAAGCGATCTCAGGCGTGGTAATGTGATAGCTTCTGGTATCCAGAAACCCTACACTACTGAAACAAACGTTTCCATTCAGATCACAGGACACGCGAACTCACAAACAAATGCCAACTAACTAGAATTGTTGCAGTCAATTTACTAGACGCTCATCCGTTGGGCACTGCTAAACACCTGCAACGGTACAGAACGAACAAGAATCGAGTGCAAATAATTCAGCCGGTTTATACTAGCTTTTGTACGAGATATTGGATATTAGATATTGTACCTTACTTGCAATTTTGTTTGTCAAATAATACTGTTGTGTTAACGTGGTATATCATTTTGTCCCTGACAAAACTTTCCGTTAAAAAACTGTGAGCTAATAAATTTAGACCGAAACGACATCTTTTTCATCGATTGGTCAATGACTTGTACGTTCAACTGTTACCGGCCCCTATCTTCAAGGTGAAGCTGGGTACTTACTACGAAGCAAGGCATAAGGACTAGTATAGGTCCTCTTAACTGCCCTTCTTATTAATAAAATAATGAAACCTCTTCTTTATATTGAGAACTTATTTTTCAGCTACTAATAGACTTTCACCAGCTAGTCGTGTGTTTTTCACACCACGATGGCTGCATTTCTAGGTTGCCCCGCCCGTCATATTAGCACTAGAATTTTATCCTTATTATCCTTATTACTCTACACGTTACAACTATCTGACCTCAGGTCTGGTAATGTGGTAGCTGCTGGTATCCGGAATCCCTACTACCCTGAGACAAACGTTTCCATTCAAATCTCGAGACATACAAACTCACAAACAACTGCAAACTGACTAGAGTTAGACAGTCCAGTGGCTAGGCCTCCATTCATTGGACACTACCAAACACCTGGAACCGTACCGAAAGAACAAGAATCGAGCGCAAAGAAATCAGTCGGTTTACACTAGCTCATGAATAAGATATTGGATATTGGAAGTTTAAGTCCTTACAAGAAGTAAGATAAAAGAAATAATAATGTTTATTCTTACTGTTCATAGTGATTTGGGATATTTTATGTCGTTGTTCTGGAATCCAAACGGTTGTAAGATTGTTGTTTTAGTTATCCATTGTTGTTTACCCTAAGGATTGACCGGAGTTATAAATCTTACGGAAATGAAGAAAGATTATAAGTTGACTCAAATGTACATGCCTTTCTATGCAGCTTGCATATCAGCTGCTATAGGCTTTCTGTTCTTCTTCTTGTCGTTTTCGAGTCCTTATTGGTTACAGTCGTATGATCGTGTACACAGTTCTTTTCTGCATATGGGGATTTGGTCTGTATGTTTTGACAAATTTGTGCATCCACAAGTACTATTTTTGCTAATAATTCAGATTCATCAGAATTTAGGATTATCACGCGAATGTACTGACCGGGTGCTTTTGGGTATACGATCGTTTTTTCTTCAAGATTGGCATATGGCAGTGGCTAAATCCATATTGGTTGATTGGTGTTCAAGTTCTGATAACTATAGCATTCACAGCAAAGTGCTGTGTTATCTTGATCCTTGTCCTGTATCATTTGTTGTTTGGTCATCCAGCTGCTGAATCAACTATGGCTCTCATTGGTGAGGTAAGTAATGTAATTTGAATAAGCAAACATTAGTCAAGATAACTTCATGCGCATATCCTAGTTGATAAACAGTAAAGGCTTGAAGTTTATATTCTTTTATAATTACTTTTATTTCAATTTTGAAGCCAAAGTGACCACAGCCGTTTCAATAGATAGCTTCAAGCATAGACTTGAAAAACATGTGTTTGAATACCAATTATCATCTCGTACTGAGCTAGTTATGTCTAGTACATGTCTCGAGACTTTCTTGTTGTGGTCATCGTTGCTTCTCTAGTTCAACAACTTATTCTAACTCGCTTATCATCACTCTGCTTCCATTTTGTTTGGCTAACACTTCTATCCTCTTAAACTCTAGTCAATAAAAATTAATTATCTTATTTATTTTTTTGCTTTGTTCTGAGACGTTATCATTAGCCGTAGGATTTTCTATTTATTATCTTTCACAATGCAACTAACTGATCCCCAACCTGGTTTCCACAATCTTTACTGCTCTGAGATAAACGCACTCACTCACATCGACAAGCGTTTGAAAAAAATATTAAATACCAGTCACTTATACAGACATAGGTGAAAACCAATACAGTTGGTCAATAACAAAAAGACACCAGTCCAAAAGAGTTTATGCAATACTTCAGTAGCAACTCATTTCATTGTTGGCTATTACGATGAACAACGTTAGAAAAACAGTTATAAAGGCATAAAGGTCAGGTTTTTCTAGCTGAATACTGATGGATTTAGGTGCATGTTCATGAAATATGGGTAGACTTTGTAGTTTGTTTCGTAGGATCTGATTAGTTACTTACTTGCACCTATTAACCTCAGGGAAGCAAAGGTTGTCGACAAGCAATTTCAAAACTACTCTGTCTTACAACTTCCTTTCGAGTTTTATCTAATTGCTGTTCATTCTTTTCATATCTGTCTCCACATTTTCGGGTAATTTTTTCTTTGGTATTCCTCTTTCCCTTTGTTCTTGAGGATTCCAAGTGAGAGCTTGGCTTATGACAAAGTTATGTGTTCTATCCACCTCCGTCAAAACTTCCTAGTTTCTTCTCGTGGTAGAATCTGGTGTTTTTCTCGCACAGTAGGTTGTTGCTCATGATGTATGTAGTATCTTGAGTAGACAACTGTTATTGTTAACTATATCTTGTGAATGATTTCATTTGTGATTTTACAAGTTTCCACTTCATACAGTTGAATTGTCTTGACGTTTGTATTGAAAATTCTGACTTTGATGTTGGTTCAGTTTAAGATTTTCTGTAACTGGAGAAATGCTGCCCTTGTTTTGTCAATTGACTTCAGGTTCACCTTGTTTATCACTAATGTTGCCTAGGTGTGTAAAGGTTTCTACATCTCCCAAAGCTTCTCTGTCAAGTTTGATGTGGCTGGTGCATATTGCGGTACATCTAAGGATCTTGCTTTTTCCCAGTAGGATCTGACAAATGTTATAACATTCACTGTTTACGTTCATATAATATGTTATATCAGTTATACTAACATGTATAGAGTTTTTAAACAGACCCTAAACATCGTTTATTCAACCAAACAGTTTTTTCTCAGTTTAACTGACTCCCTAAGAGCAGTTAAATTTACAAACACACATAGATAAGGTAATTTCAAGCGGCCGATTCTTATTTCCAGTTCTAATTAACGGCTGGTTGTACAATAGAGTACAAAACATAGCTGCAGTGATTGTATTTTGCAGAGATTTTCTTACCCATCTTGTTATTATTTCACTAACTTTCATATTGGAACCGTCATCTTAGAAATATAAGCTTACTAGAAATTGTAATTATTATCTGATATTGTCCTAGCCAGGGCCTTATGTCAGTAATTAACTTTACTTCCATGGTACTATTGTTGGACATACTTTTGTGGACTTTTAAATCAACTCTTTAAACAGAGTTACTGTAGTGTATCCAGACGTTATATAACTGTAAAAATGAGGTTTATTAACAAATGTTAAATTTCCGTTCATAATTCATTTTGTTTCCAACGTTTCATCTAGTTCTTTTGTGTTAACACAACATTTATAAATGAATAATTTAATAAATGCCGTTAAATATTTTATTGAGACCTAGCTTAAATATGTATCGTTCATGCAAACTAGGAATAAAATCCTATCGAGTTAGTGTCATTCTGATGTTTTGAAGATCGAGGCTAGTGGTAATCCCACGAAAAATCATATCCGATTGCATGTAAGACAGAAATAGTTGATAATTTAAAACTGTACGTTCATTGTACACCTAAAGATGAACTATTCCATTGAAAATAAACATACGCTTCAGTTTTTGTGCTATTTTTTTATTAAAAAAGGAAGTTACTTATACATGTTACCCTCAAATGTAGGATAGGTCACCGACCAACATTCTATAACCTACTCTGTTCCGGGCCTTCCTTTCTAGTTTGTCTCCATTTCTCAGCGTAATTTGTTGCTTGACCTTCGCCTTCTCCTCTGACCTTGAGAATTCCAAGAGAGAGTTTGTTAAATCTCATTGGTTCAAGTTTAGGGAATAATAATGTATAAAGGGGGTACGTCTAAAGATTACACGAATATGTATCAAACTACGCTTTTTGTAATTAAACATTAAAGATGAGCACTCATTATAGATTTCCTTATAGTTTCATATTCATGTTCATGCGATATTTATTACCTCAAAAGTTACACAACTTTGAAAACTTTTCAGATTCAACACCTTTCGGAGAGTCACTAGAAAGTATATAAAGAAATAGCTTGTTATCTCACATTGTTGGTTGATTTTCTTTCAACGAGATCTGTCTGTTTGCATGAATGCAAAATCAAAAATTGTGCTCATTAGTGACTAGCTTTGAGAGTTTCTCGGAGTTCTAGTGAGAAGAGGTGACCAATGGAGTTCAACCCTGTCAGCTATAGGCAGTAACTTTAGAATACAAAGGGGCAGGTTGCGCAACATCCTTAAATTGATCAGAGTTAGACATTACCACGGTTGGTAGGCGGTTCAGTGGTCCTGAATTTAAGCGTTTGCGCACAAGACCAGAGGTCCTAGTTTCGAATCCTGTGGGTAGCAAGAGTCGTGAATGCACACTGCTAATGGGTCCCATACCGGGACGACACGGTCGTCCAGTGCTTCAAGGTTTCTAGTGGTCGTCTAACAATGATTCCGTCATGATTCCATACTTTGGAATTTGCATTACTAATAAGCTAATATTTTTGTATTCATAACTTAACTTGTTAGTTCTGCCACAAACATCACCTCTTCACAGTTTATACTTAAAAATCCAAATTTATCTCGATTTCATTCAAAATTCAAATAAAAACTAGGATATGAAATGAACTGAAAGTTATTTACTTGTCATATTTATCAGAATGATTCAGTGAAAATTTCACACAGAAATCATGAATCTACCAATGTTAGACCACCATTAGAAACCTTGTAAACACTGGACGGTTGTTTCGTCCCATCACGAGACTCATCAGCAATGGGCATCCAAAACTACCTCTACTCTTAGGATCCAAACCCAAGACCTTCAGTCTTGAGCGCGAACGCCTAATCTCTTGACCACTATACCGCCTGGCATCCAACGATGTTTATGTTACGCCTACACGTAAACACGTCAACTTGATATGCTTGAACTATTACGAGTTTACCTAGTCGGAAAACGAGAGCAAGGATTGAGGATCCGGTGACACGACATACTACTCAAATCCAATTATCTCAGCCCCTCATATTGAGTAAAAATAAGAAGACTTGATATGAAGTAGAACTTGTATTCTACAAGCATCCAGAAAGTACGAGGTCCCAGTCCAGAAGAGAATCACGATCCCGGACTACGGATCCGGGACCGAATCCTGGTCCTGGTCATAAAACGTTACAGATAATGCGTATTTCTACATTTTGGTCGAACAGGAAACAGCATCGAATTCTGTGACATTGATAGTCAGGACAACCAATAAGGAACAACATTGGTGCACGTGACATGGATATCTACTAGGACGACCATAAAATTGACCAGTAGGAATGAACCAATAGGAATTGAGCAATAATTCTCTTAGGATATTGGATCACTCTAAGAATTTTACTCAACCTCACTCATTGTCATTCATGATTCACTTCGTTTACATGATGATTTGTTTTAATGCCTACTTCATATTTTCTTCTCAATTAATGTAGATGTTTATTGGGATTGTGTTGACAATATGTATTTTAGTATTTGGTATCAGTTCACAAAGTCGAATATGGATGCCAAGACCTGATCAATATTTCCTGTCATGGTCATTTGGTTTCATTATTCTAGCAGCAATCTGTTCTTTTATTTCATCTGGTTTCTTATATTGTATCAGTTATACAGATAGAGCAGCTCAAGTAAGTTATTGTATAAAAGAAACGGTTACATAATTTTCAATTAAAGTTATGGAGATTAGTGTTTTGACACACATTTGAAATCATCAATGAATCAATCATTGTTAGACCATCACCATTAGAAACCTGGAAGCACTGAAAGACGGCCATTTCGTCCTGGTATGGGACTCCTCTGGTGGCAGTGCGCATCCATAACTTCTTCACCTCGCAGGATCCGAACTCGGGACTTTCGGTATTGTGCACAAATGCCTAACCATTGGAACATTGGGTCGGCATCCAATGGTGTTAATGTCTAACTCTGATTGATTTAGGGATTTTGCGCGAGCTCACTTAATTTTATAAATACCTTTTGTGTATGAGATATATAAAGCTGTAGAGCTGTAGAGATTGTTAACTTCCAATGAATTCATGTATAGATTAATGTTGGACAGTTATTGAAAACCTGTAAGCACTGAATGACTGTTTCATTTTAATGTGAGATACTTTAGCAGTGTACATCAAGCCTCTTTGACTTAGAAGTCTACTCTATAAATCAAGAGAGCATAGTTAGGGGATATAATTCCATAGTAATCAGTTATCTATAATAGGTTCATATGCTGTTCGTTCTCTCAGGGTTTTCCAACTCACCTAGGTAAAGCTTCTGTATCAAGCGATTCAGTTTTAAGCGTCCAACATTTGATTTCCGTCCTCTCAGTTTCTAAGATAACCAACCCCTTGCGTTGAGAAGACAATGAGTAGGACTTTCCTGGCTGTGGTAAAAATAAGTATGGCTATATGAAAGCATTTGGAAAGAGTGAGGGGATTCTCCTCACCTCCGATCACATATTGCCAACATACGTTTATTAAAACAGTTGATCGTTTTTTAACAAAAGATTGTGGATTATTACTACAGTACTATAAATATGATTTCATTATACTGAGTTTACGATGATTATCCTGCTTTTGTCAGAATAGTTATCATTCCATGACTCCAGCTAAATTTTATGTTCACACCAACTTGCTCACATTATGAATCGTTTTGTTTCTAATTACTAATTAGAAATCATGTCGGATGAGTGTCAATTACTCATTGAACACAATGATAAGGTTGTGCACTTATTGTGGGTTGATTGAAATTAAACATTAATATTGCTGTACACAGGCTCGGTGGTCAAAAGATTAAGCTGTCGCGCACAAGACCGTGAAATTTAAGTTCGAATCCCATGGGAATGGGTCGTGGATATGCATTATTGATGAGTCCAACACTGTAGGACCAGGAAGCCGCCCAGTGCCACCAGATTTCTAATGTTGGTTACCTGACGTGTTTTGTATCATAATGATGAAGACTGCTTGTGGCTTATGCTGATGCTAAAGGTCATATTATGTTCTCAAAGTTGAATAGTCTAATTGTAAAGCTTTAGTTGTTCTTCTGAAAAGGGAACAACCAGAAAAAGCTTACAAACAACAACCACATCAACCAATCACATTTCTTATCAAAGCAACCTGTTCTTGTTAAACTAATTTGACATGGTGTTGTTCATGAAGAACAACGCAGACTTCACAAATAAACCAATGAACTCCAAGGCCATATGCTCTTCAACATACTTTCACTGATGAACTTCTGCAAACGCATTTGAGTATACATAACACATTAGATAAAACCACCACAACGTAACATAAAAAGCTCAGTTATTTCTTACCAAAACACTAAGTTCCGGCTATTTATACATAAAAGGATATTCAACTAAATAAAGGTTTAAAAGGTTTTAACGTGCCCAACTTTGAGGTCAACAGGCTTGATTCCGTAAACATCGATCTCAAAAATATCAAATTGCAACATTACGGATCATTGTGGAACAATCGAATCAATGGAACTCACCCTTCTACATCAGCTTCATTGACTATGAGAAAACATTTAATAGTGTGGATAGGTCAACACTATGGAGGCGTTTTCAGCACTATGGCATGCCTGAGAAGGTAGATACGGAATATTTACGATGGATTAAACTGAATAATCGTTCATAAAGGAAAGCTCACAGGCTCGTACGAAGTAAGGACCGGCGATCAGTGAAAGATGCTCACTCTCTCCCGTTCTCTTTCTACTGGTTATCGACTGGATTATGAAGACTGCAACATCTGTGTGGCAAGCACGGGATAAAGTGGACGACCAAGAAACAGCTAGATGATCTGGACGTCACAGATTGATCTGGCTCTTCTATCTCACATGCAGCAACAAAAGCAAGAGAAGACGACCAGCCCAGCAACATCCTCTGCAACGCTATGTCTCAACATACACAAGGCAAAATCAAGATCTTCCGATACAACAAAACACGCACCAACCGAATCACATTTGACAGGGAAGCTTCGCAGGATGTAGAAATCTTCACACATCTTGTCTGCCTTATGTATGAGCGGAGTAGATCTGATGCAGATATGAGAAGACGCGGATCGGTAAAGCAAGCGCAGCATTTCTACAATTGAAGAATATATCTGAAACTTAAAACACCTATCTAATAACACCAAAGTCACAATTTTCAATATAGAGTATGGGATGGAAACTTGGCAAACTACCAGAGCCATCATCCAAAAGATACAAGTGTTTGTCAACAATTGTCTATATAAGATACTAAGAATCTGTTGGCCAAAGATAAAACAAACCAAATTCAAGCGTAAGAAGCGATCAAGAAGGAGCACTGGAAAAAGGATAGGTCACACATTGAGGAAAGCACCCAACTGCATCACAATGCAAGCTCCTCACTTGGAATCCTCAAGGCCAAAGGAAAACAGGAAGATCAAAATACATAATACAACGAGAAATGAAGACAGACAGGAGGAGAAAGAACAAACAACCATTGGATAGAACCAGAAAGGAAGGACTAAGACAGAGTAGATTGGAGAATGCTAGTCGGTGGCCTATGGTCCATTGAGGATAACAGACATAAACACACAAACATCACAAACGCAAATAATAATCGTAATAATAATCATTATTGTAGTATTAAACAGTATGTTCCATTTTTCTAAAATTTCAAATCATCAGAGTTGTTTTATTCTCACAAATGGTGTATTCTTTACAATAATCTTGTCCGACTAATTTTTTCCCTAGGAAGAAGTTGAAAAATTTGAAGCTGTTGAAAAAAATTATGGTGGTATTATGCCAAGTGTTTTATCTGTTGGTCGAATAGGCAGTGGTGGTTTGTACAGTGGAGGAGGATTGAGTGGGATTGGCGGCGCAGGTGGTGTGGTAGTTAAAGTACCACCAACTGGAGCACGTCCTGAACAAGTATGTTTTTGTCTAGGGCATAATTTGTCACTGTTTTTGTTGTCGGTAGTTAAATTTTTGTACAGAGTCATACAAATGGTGTTATTGACATTGTGTCGGATAATTGTGTGTGTGTGGGGGGGGAAGGGAAGGCTGATCACAAAGTGGGACGGACCATACGTTATCATGGAGAGACGCGGCGCGGTGTACACGATCCGGAGAGAAGACAAGCAGAAGCGTGTAAATGCCAGTCAACTGCAGATGTGGTTTCAAGATTATCAAGTGTATGAGTCACGAAAAGCACCAAAGAAGACAGCGGTACGGCGATCAGAAAGACTACAACGACAGCTTATTAAAATGGGGGACGAGTGTGGTGCGCGCTACTTATAAGTAGTGTATGACGCGAGTGAAAACGTAATGTCTGGCAGCAGAAGATGAGGGAAAATGAAGAAAGGAAGAGTGGGAACACAATGGAATTTGTATGAAACGCATGAACAGTGAAATGTCAGACGGTGAATTGATGATGGATTTATGTTTTGCAAATTAACGGTTTACGATATAGTTTTCCTATTTTACCAATTAACTCTGTAATTTTCGCTAAATACAATTCGGTTGCCCTCACCTGTGTTTGTAAAGAGTCATACAAATAGTGTTATTGACATTATGCGTCGAGTAACTGTGTGTGTGTATGCGTGACGAACAGTTGTTCGGAGCAGTTTTTTAGTGATGTGCTGTGCTGGCGTTTTATGGTCTACTGTTCATAGTTTCACATTGAGTTGAATAGTTTACAGATGTCAGTCACATACACCAAGTTATTGAGCTGCTGTTGTTACCTAAAATGTTATTGGTCAGTAATGTGATGAATCAATCCAAAGTGGTCAAATGAGATCACTTGATAACAATCATAAATGTATATTATTGGTCAAGAAATGGATTCATTTTATAATGGTGGGAGCGAGAATGCATTTACATGAATGAGTGTTTATGTGTACGTTTCAGTTGCTCATGTAGATTGTTTCTTTCAGCCAGTTTTGCGGAGGGCAGACAGACAGATACAACGCAGAACTTCGTACGTACATACATCAGTTGAGGTTGCCATACCGCATTTGCACAGAGACGCAACTGTCAGTTCAAATCCAAGAGTGATAGCAATCGTAGAATTATTAGCAGTAATGGAGAAGATTAGGGAGCGAAGATATGATTTGAGATAAATTTAGAAAGATAAGGATAGAGATGATGAGAAATTCAGGTTAGAATTAGAGAGAACACAAAGAGTGGATGCACGTGAGCCATTGCAAACAATTCTGAGCCATGTCGTTCAAGGTCTCTAACCATTGTTGACTTTCGTCTCACGGACCCCAATCAGGTAGCCTACATCTACCGACATGACGCAGTCCACTTGTCAGTGACTTCATGCATTTGTGCCATGTTTTGGTTTGACCGTCCCTAACTTTCGTCCAACCTACTCCTACACCATAAAACATAGCTCGTCAAGGCAATCGGTGACCCGACAGTAGAACAATTTCAACACTTTTTTTGAACGTACATAACCTGTTAAATCAGTGATGTTTCAACTTTTTTTTACTAGAATTCACTTTTTCACGAAAGTAAAATAATTCATGCTTAACGAAAAATAAAATAATCTTATAGGTATGACGGTGTTTAGTGGGAAATTATTGACTAGAGTACTATTTATCAAGTACAAAGTTAACATATACAACATTTTTGAGGTATAATTGTGTTTGTATGAAGATAAATGATA